CCCAGAAGGTGTTGAGATGGATGGCGACTTCGACTATCTCGAGTCGGTGAAAGCGATCTACGGTCTCAAGCAAGCGTCGCGCGTGTGGAACGAGACTTTCGACGACTTCGTGTGCTCAATCGGATTTCAAGTATCGGCATTCGACCCGTGTCTCTACATCAAGATGGTCGACGGTCACTGCGTGCTGGTGCTGGTCTACGTGGACGACGTGCTCGTGACAGGCAGCTCACTCGACTTGATCGCGCAGACAAAGGCCGATCTCAAGACGCGCTTCGAGATGACCGACAGCGGCAAGTGCACTTTTGTGCTGGGCATCGAATTGGTCGACGGACCTGACGGCAGTGTCACCATGTGCCAGCGCCGCTATGTCGACGACATCCTTAATCGCTTCGGTATGGACGAGTGCAAGGCCACTGTTGGTGCGGTCGACTTGAGCTCTCCACTTGTGCCTAGCAACCATGGGACCAAGGTGGACGCTCCGTTTCGCGAAGCAGTTGGTGCTCTGATGCACCTGATGACCGCGACCCGCCCAGACATAGCGTATGCTGTGGGTTACGTGTCGCGCTTCATGGAGAATCCGCAACAAGAGCACTGGGTTGCAGTAAAGCGCATCTTCCGCTACCTTCAAGGCACCAAGTCGCACGGGGTCTGCTACCAACCAAGCGACAAGATCGACTTTCGCGGATACTCCGACGCGGACTGGGCTGGCGACCACGCGGATCGCAAGTCAACTTCGGGCTACGTATTCATGCTGCTCGGCGCACCCATCAGCTGGGAAAGCAAGAAGCAGTCAAGCGTGTCGCTATCGACGAGTGAAGCGGAATACATCGCGCTGAGTCTGACCATCCAAGAAGGCAAGTGGATCCATCGCCTGCTATGCGAGGTTCTGACGGCTGCCAACGAAGAAGGTCCAGAGCTTATCATCTTTGAAGACAACCAGTCGTGCATCAAGATGACGAAGAACCTAGTCAACCACGGACGTGCCAAGCACATCGACATCAAGTACCACCACATCCGTGATGAAGTCAAGCGCGGCGAAGTCAAGCTTCAGTATTGCGGGACGGCGACCATGTTAGCGGACATCATGACGAAGGGACTACATGGACCACGCCACAAGGACTTGACGGCGGCTCTCGGCATCCGTGCGAGTTCGGATTGAGGGGGCGTATTGAGGGTTACCGGTACAATCCGAACTTAGCGCGTAGTTCTTACGGGATAGTTCTTACGTCGGTAATTACCTCAGAGATGATTAGACGCGTAGGATGATTGGACGCGTGTAAATCAGGTTGATTAGATGCACCATGTGACTGGATGCAGTCTAGGGTAGGCAGAGTTAAGACCTATGAATCAATCACTTTCCGATTTCCATTCTTCAGAGCAAGTTTCTTCTCTTCGGCTCGTCCAAGTGCAGACTCTCTTGCCCGCCTCAGCTTCCGACGCCAACACCAGTTCGGCAAGAAGGTCAAGTTCGTTCGCCACGATGGAGCATGTGAGTTTGCATCCAACTCGCTCAAGGTCTTTTACGAGAACGAAGGTATCGAGCAACAGACCACGGTTCCGTATGCGCACCAGACCAACGGCACGGCAGAGCGCGCCATTCGGTCTATTGTCACGATCGGCCGCAGCTTGCTGCACCACGCCAAACTTGACAAGTGTTTTTGGGCTGAAGCGGCCATGACGGCCATCTACATCAAGAACCGTCTGCCATCGCCCAAGATTCCCCACAAAACGCCGTTCGAGATCGTGTGTGGCTCAAAGCCAAGCGTCAAGCACATGCGTATATTCGGGTGTCAAGCATACATCTTGACTCCGAAGGAAAAACGACTCAAGTGGGATCCCAAGGCTCGTGTCGGCATCTTCATGGGCTACGAAGAAGTTTCCAAGGCATATCGCGTGTTTGACATCGAGGCTGGACAAGTTGTGATCAGCCGTGATGTCAACTTCGACGAGTCAGCTTTCGGGTTTTCGATGGAGCCATCAAGTGAAGAAGTCGATGATGCAACGTTGGACCTCGATCTTCTCGACATCAACGACAGCGATGTGCGCCAGACAAACTACAGACAGACCGGCAAGCGAAAGGACCGGCCAAGCAACAACGTTATGCGCCCAGCCCGTCGTCGAACTGGGTTGGAGGAAGCAAGTGCACCGGACAGCTCATTCGATCGCCACCAGAAACGTCGATCAAGTGGCAGAGAAGATCCAAGATATACCGACGATGAAGAAGAAAAAGAGGACATCAGTGATCAAGATGATGACTCCACGCCTCCTACTTTCTGGCGTGCAAGTGCTAATGCAGTGGAGGCGACTGATCTGGCTGAGCCTACAACGTTTCAGGATGCGATCAGCGGACCTGATCAAGTTCACTGGCGCAAGGCCATTCGGGCCGAGCTCGAGTCGATGCGACTTCGCGGTGTCTTTCGTGCTGCCAAGTTGCCGAGTAACCAACGCGCTATTGGGACCAAGTGGGTGTTCAAGATCAAGCGCAAAGCAAGCGGAACGATCGAGAAGTTCAAGGCGCGTTTAGTTGCGAAGGGCTTCAAGCAGAAGTACGGAATCGACTACACCGAAACATTCTCGCCGGTGGTCAAGTACGTGACACTGCGCATGGTAATTGCGATCACCAAGTACTTCGACTGGCCTCTCGACCAACTTGACGTGGTGACGGCATTCCTGTACGGAGTGATGAAGGAAAAGGTGTTCTGCAACATCCCAGAAGGTGTTGAGATGGATGGCGACTTCGACTGTCTCGAGTCGGTGAAAGCGATCTACGGTCTCAAGCAAGCGTCGCGCGTGTGGAACGAGACTTTCGACGACTTCGTGTGCTCAATCGGATTTCAAGTATCGGCATTCGACCCGTGTCTCTACATCAAGATGGTCGACGGTCACTGCGTGCTGGTGCTGGTCTACGTGGACGACGTGCTCGTGACAGGCAGCTCACTCGACTTGATCGCGCAGACAAAGGCCGATCTCAAGACGCGCTTCGAGATGACCGACAGCGGCAAGTGCACTTTTGTGCTGGGCATCGAATTGGTCGACGGACCTGACGGCAGTGTCACCATGTGCCAGCGCCGCTATGTCGACGACATCCTTAAGCGCTTCGGTATGGACGAGTGCAAGGCCACTGTTGGTGCGGTCGACTTGAGCTCTCCACTTGTGCCTAGCAACCATGGGACCAAGGTGGACGCTCCGTTTCGCGAAGCAGTTGGTGCTCTGATGCACCTGATGACCGCGACCCGCCCAGACATAGCGTATGCTGTGGGTTACGTGTCGCGCTTCATGGAGAATCCGCAACAAGAGCACTGGGTTGCAGTAAAGCGCATCTTCCGCTACCTTCAAGGCACCAAGTCGCACGGGGTCTGCTACCAACCAAGCGACAAGATCGACTTTCGCGGATACTCCGACGCGGACTGGGCTGGCGACCACGCGGATCGCAAGTCAACTTCGGTCTACGTATTCATGCTGCTCGGCGCACCCATCAGCTGGGAAAGCAAGAAGCAGTCAAGCGTGTCGCTATCGACGAGTGAAGCGGAATACATCGCGCTGAGTCTGACCATCCAAGAAGGCAAGTGGATCCATCGCCTGCTATGCGAGGTTCTGACGGCTGCCAACGAAGAAGGTCCAGAGCTTATCATCTTTGAAGACAACCAGTCGTGCATCAAGATGACGAAGAACCTAGTCAACCACGGACGTGCCAAGCACATCGACATCAAGTACCACCACATCCGTGATGAAGTCAAGCGCGGCGAAGTCAAGCTTCAGTATTGCGGGACGGCGACCATGTTAGCGGACATCATGACGAAGGGACTACATGGACCACGCCACAAGGACTTGACGGCGGCTCTCGGCATCCGTGCGAGTTCGGATTGAGGGGGCGTATTGAGGGTTACCGGTACAATCCGAACTTAGCGCGTAGTTCTTACGGGATAGTTCTTACGTCGGTAATTACCTCAGAGATGATTAGACGCGTAGGATGATTGGACGCGTGTAAATCAGGTTGATTAGATGCACCATGTGATTGGATGCAGTCTAGGGTAGGCAGAGTTAAGACCTATGAATCAATCACTTTCCGATTTCCATTCTTCAGAGCAAGTTTCTTCTCTTCGGCTCGTCCAAGTGCAGACTCTCTTGCCCGCCTCAGCTTCCGACGCCAACACCAGTTCGGCAAGAAGGTCAAGTTCGTTCGCCACGATGGAGCATGTGAGTTTGCATCCAACTCGCTCAAGGTCTTTTACGAGAACGAAGGTATCGAGCAACAGACCACGGTTCCGTATGCGCACCAGACCAACGGCACGGCAGAGCGCGCCATTCGGTCTATTGTCACGATCGGCCGCAGCTTGCTGCACCACGCCAAACTTGACAAGTGTTTTTGGGCTGAAGCGGCCATGACGGCCATCTACATCAAGAACCGTCTGCCATCGCCCAAGATTCCCCACAAAACGCCGTTCGAGATCGTGTGTGGCTCAAAGCCAAGCGTCAAGCACATGCGTATATTCGGGTGTCAAGCATACATCTTGACTCCGAAGGAAAAACGACTCAAGTGGGATCCCAAGGCTCGTGTCGGCATCTTCATGGGCTACGAAGAGTTTCCAAGGCATATCGCGTGTTTGACATCGGGGCTGGACAAGTTGTGATCAGTCGTGATGTCAACTTCGACGGAAGTCAGCTTTCAGGTTTTCGATGGAGCCATCAAGTGAAGAAGTCGATGATGCAACGTTGGACCTCGATCTTCTCGACATCAACG